TGCTGGTGGCAGGAGGGGGGCAGCAGAGAGCTGCCAGGGTGGTAAGCTCTGGGGAACCCCAAGGGCCGAGTAGGTGGAAAAATGGAATATTACGTTGAACCCCAATCAAGAACTCACGGGTCAAAAGGAAAGGCAGGCTACAAAGCGTAGAATCAAGAGAGAAGCCAAACCAGGATAGGACCAAGGTATAAGGAAACTTGCTGGCAATCATGTGGTCCCATAACACTTCAGTAGGAGATTTGGTCTTTCTTTTCTTTCTTTTTACTTAAATTATAAGCAAAATGGACAATATTAAAATTACTGTCTGCGGGCTGGCCAGTTAGCTCAGTTGGTAAGAAGTGTGGTGTTGTGTCATCAAGGTCAAAGGTTCGAATCCCCATACTGGACAGCCACAAAAAAAGAAAAAGAAAAGAAAAAAATTATTGTTCATCACACATATTTTGGCAATTTGTATAGCCAAATTATTGGGCTAAGTTTTTGATGTATTTTCCTCCAATATAATCATCGTTTTGAATGCATGTTTTGTTTTATAGCTGCTTTAAAAAAAACAATTTAATATTCTGTGAGCATCCTCCCATGTCTTTAAATTTCTTAGTATTCTTATGCACATCATTTTTAATGATCACCTTATCTTTGGTTGACGTGGATTCACTCTGATTGATTTAACTAACTGCTAATTAGAAGGCACTAGGATTTTTCTAATTTTTCACTGTTTTAAACAATGTAAATACTAGGTAAATCTTTGTGTGTATCTGCGATGACTTCCCTAGAATAAATCTTTAAAAGTAGAATGGTAGGCACAGAAGTCCATATCTATAAGCTTTTGGATTTGAATTGCCAAATACCACTCTTAGAAGGGCTGTAATGGTGTATACTCTTCCTCCAGTGTTCATTTCCCCACACCTTCACTGATTTTGGAAAATACTTTAAAAAAAACAAAAACAGAAAAAAAAAAAAAGCAACCAACCACAGCAGAAAAAAACCCCGACAGCTTTGCTAATCTGATTGATGAAAAAAATGGTACCTCATGTTTAAAAACAGCATTTCTTTGATTACTACAAATGTTGAACTTTGTTCAACTGTTTGGTCATATCTACGTGTGTGTGTGTATGCGTATGTGAGATCTGCCTATTTTTGTCATTGTCCATTTTCTACAAGATATTTTCTTATAGAGTTTAATAAGTGCTCTCTATATAGTAAGGATATTAACCCTTTATAATACTTGCTGCGAATATTTCCTCCCATGCATTATTTGTCTTTTCATTGTTTTTACATGTGGCTTCCCAGAAGGTCTTGATTTTTTTTTTTTCCTTTTTGTCTTTTTTTGTGACCAGTAATCACAACCCTTGGTGTTGCGCCCGCACCGCGCTCAACCAGTGAGCGAACTGGTCTCTATATGGGATCCGAACCCTCGGCGGGAGCGCCGCCGCACTCCCAAGCGCCGCACTCTACGGAGTGCGTCATCGGGCCGGCCCCAGAAGGTCTTGATTTTTAAGTAAACTTTCTATTTTGGAATAATTTTGGATTTACAGGAAAGTTGCCAATATAGTATGTAGTTTCCTATATACCTTCACCCAGCTTCCCCTAATGTCAGCATCTTACATAACCATGGTACCTTTGTCAAAACAAAGAAATCCCTTAAGGTTTTAAAGGTGCCTTGTTAGTGTGCTGCGGAGAATCAAGCAACTCTGATATAACCTTCATCTTCCTGTGATGGAAACGTTTGTTTAAAGTTTGGCTGATTTAAATTTGGAGCATAATCTCCCCCATACTCCCCACCACCATGATTTTTGTGTATTCCCAGTCAGAGCACCAGTCTATTTAATCCATCATGTTCTGAAACATATCATTAATAGTTTATTAATAGTGCTGTAGAACTCATTTTATTATGAATAACCATGTTTCTATAGGCAAAGGCATTTCAGAGTTTTGATTTTGAAGTTCTTTGAAGGACGTAATTTTGCAGTTGTTTCTGCTGTAGTCCCATACAGTGTCCTACTCGCCCTCCTGTTAGGCTATCTCACTTTCTGGGGTTAAAGGGCAAAAACAAGAAGTATGCCTCGTATCATCTTTACAGGGAGTAACATGCCATTAGAGCACTTTTCAAAAGAGAGCTATCATCTTTCTCTTTCTGAATTACAGCTTCCCTGGGGATAGGTTGATAAAAAAGCATTTGGTCTAAAATGGTCTTTTCCTAGAGCCGAGTAGAATTACCACGGATAATTGGACGGTGTGGAGTGTCAGAGCAGTGGACCAGGGTCTGGGGAGGGAGCTCCTGGTGCTGCTGTACCTCAGGCTGCCCTGGGGCTTTGTGTAAGTCAGTTCTCCTCTTGGGGCCTCATTTCCTCATCTGCAAAGCAAGGGGGCTTCAATGATCTCTTTCCGGCTGGAGATTTTCTCAGTGATTCTCAAAAACAGATTTTATTGGGGATGATGGATATGTGATATGTGATATTGATTGTGGTGATGGTTTCATCATGGGTGCATACCTATGTCAAAGCTTATCAAATTGCATATTTTAAATACATGCAAAAATTGCTTATTTTAAATATATGTAGTTTATTATATGTCATGTATACCTCAATACAACTGTTTAAAAAAGCAGATTTTATCCAGCTTCTAGAATGATGAGGAGGTAGAAAGGATCAGTTTATATGGTCAGAAACAGAAACAACAGTGCTTTCTGGAGTTTTCCCTACAAGTTCCTACTAAGGTTGTGCTTTCTCCTCCTCCAACTTCTTCTATTTATGTATTTATTTATTTTTTGAATTACTATTTTCATCTATTCTGGGAATGTTCATTTTCCTCAGGCATCATCCTCGAGTCTTCTCTCTCCTTGGGACTCAAAAGTGAGGTGGCAGCAAGGCCTCTCTTGGACCCCCATTGCAGCTCCGGGCTCATCCCCACTCTCCTCTCCAGGAAGAAAGAGGCCTTCTAAGTCCTTAACACTGGTAATGGATTCAATTCATTGGGTAGTGCTTCTCAGCAAAAATTCCTCTTTGAAAGCAGACCAACCAGTAGGGAAGATAATCAAAACAAGTTCTCACAAGTAGAACTTCACACACTGTGACAAATGGGCGGGGGATACTTTGAGTGGGGAACCCCCTGGGGGTGGCTATCTGCCCCTCTGACACCTACTGGAAAGTACCCTCTTCCTGTCTTTTCCTTCTATACCCAGTCAGGCACAGTTACTCACTATAGACTTGTGAGCCTTCCACTGAAATAAGTTTCTGCATTCATCTCATATATTCCCTCTGCCACTACCTAGTCCAAACGCATCATCTTAAATCTGGATCTCTCCAGGAGGCTCCTACTTGGCTCTCTGTAGAGAGAGCCTCTGCACTGCACGCCATCCTGCAAGATCATCATCCCAGTGCTGCCTTTAGCAATCTCTGACTCACTCGGAGACCCTCCGCAGCTCTCCATTTCCGCATTTCCTCAGGTGTAAGCTCCTCCGCCTGGATTGTGAGGCCCTCCACCCCCTAGCCCCACCTTCTCTTATTTTACCTTCCCCACCACTCCCAGGCAAGTCTTCGCTCCACTGGGGCATGTTTTCTCCTTAACCCAGCTACATGCCATGTGCTTTCGCAGTTCTCTGTCTGTCTTATGTTTCCCTACCACTGGGAATCCAGGCTCTTCTAACGTTGGCCTCAGTAAATCCTAGCTGTCCTGAAACTCAGCTCAAGCTCGTCTTTCTCAGGAAGCTTTTATTGATTCTCTGAGTACATTCATTTCAATTTTTTGGACTACTGTTTATTTGATGGGTGCTAGGGACATGAGGGTGAATTACGGCCTCTCTCATTTGGTTTTTGTCTTCTCTCCAACTCCCAAGAGAATGAAAAGCCAAGTTAATCCAGGAATTTCTTTAACTAGAAACGTATATGTACTTTTCCCCATCAAGCAGGTCCTTGAAAATTCAAGCCCAGGGATTTAAAGTGTGTGTGCAGGTGAAGAATTTGACACACAGTGGACAGATGAAAATCTCCTTGCAGCTATTTGTGCTGGTTCTTGCTGGGCTGAATATAATGTGTGTGAATGACTAAATCACAATAAAATATGATTCCTAAAAATAAATAGGTGTGTTTTCTTTTTATGCAATGAAGAGTAAAGTCATATTAATGTAGATCTATGTTTATGGGCAAGGAAAGGTCACCTTTGTTTAAAAAAACACTTTGTTTAAAAAACAGTATGTGAGATATGGTCTAATCTTGGTTTAAGAAAAAACTCTAAAGCATAGAAAGAAAAATTTGGAAGGATGTGTACCAAATGATTTTCTTTGGGTGGAGGAATTATTACTGACTAAATAAAACTCTTCTTTTTAACCCAAACTTGCTATAACAAGCAACTTTATTGTTCCAATCAGAAACACTTTTTCATTTTGGAAAGAAGCAAAGAAACAGGGATATCAATTTGGTGCAAATGCAGATGGATCGCTTTAGAGACAGTGCAAAATCGAATATTGAAAGGCCTTCTGTTTTGTTTTAATATAAAGTCAAGACTGGAATGGACCCACATCTACAGGGACATTCAGCAGATGTGGACTGAATGATTGCAGTGTTTCAGGGTAAACATTATAAAAATAAACAAATGAGCAAACTAATGGAATGTGAAAGACAGGATACCTGAGTAATTACCATAAATGCTTTGCTCTTATTTTTGTCAGAGACCCAGAAAAGATTTAACCTCTGGGCGTATTAATCTGGCTTCTATCACTAGGCAGAGCTAGTGGCTCTTTATGTTCTAAATCATAAATATATGATTTGACCTTGATATGCTCTAGTAATTTTGTTTTCTTTCTATGGAGGTTTTCATCTCTTCAAAGGAATGGAAAATGTACACATTGGTGATATCATACAGGTGGGTGTCTACAACCTTGAAAATTTCACATCCAGGTGGGAATTCACTTGAGTGCTCAGAGGGCCAGCGGGTCAGCCTCAGCTGCTGTCCCTATAAAGTTCAGGAAGGACTATGAATTCTAGACTCTGGAAAAATCCTTGACCATGAGGTTAATCCTGTTTTTTTTTTTTGGTGCCCTTTTTGGGCATATCTACTGTTGAGAAACATTTGTAGGGTAAGTTACACTTTCTGGTGCTTGTTTGAATTTTACTTACTTGATTCATGGAGTCTCTCAGTTGGTTGTTACAGAATAATGGGCATAAGTGTTCAGTGTTTTCAGAGAAGTTCTCTTGTATTGGGGGGATGGGGATACTGGAAAAAATAGTAGCAGGTGATCAAAAAAGAGATGAATGACATTTAAAGGAAAAAGCAAAAGTAAAAACTGAATATGCATGGCCCTATTTCTCTCTGTGCCTTATGTGTTTTTCCCTCCAATGATCAGAATGTGGGGGTGACTGACATCAGGGAAAATAAAGCTGTTTGGCCATTTGTCTTGGGACATCTCAGTGTCAAGGCGACTCTCTCACCTCCTTCCTACCTTTCTGGGCTTTGACCTCCATGTCAGCCCTTGTCCCCCCTGTCTTCAGATTTAGTGTCTAGGGAGTGGAACCGAATGAAGTGGAAAGGCCAGGGCTGTAGGTTGCAGCTCAACTCCTCCTCTCATGGCTTTGTGGGACTCATTATTGATCCAAAGTACTTTGCTTCCACAATTCTATAAAGGGCTTTAGGCAGTATTTTTTGAAGAGCATTCCAGGGAACTAATGAAACAGTCAAATAAATTTGGTCCAAAAAAGTGGGTGGTCAAATAAATTTGGGAATCAGAGGGTTAAACAAACTATAGGATTTCTAGGAGGTTTGACTAAATTAGTGTGCATTATAAATCTATCAGAGGGGGTCTAGGTTGCAGCATGTACCCAATTTTTTTAATCATCAATCTCCCCCCCCCCTTTTTTGCTCAGCAACTCAAAGGACTATATTCTTTAGAACACACACCAGGAAATATTAGCCTAATGTATTATTTTTCCCAGCGCCTTCCTATTTTAGAGGAGGACTCCTGGGAATTCATGCATTAACCAAAAGTAATGAGACTCAAACAGAAGAATTTTCAGAGTGTTTGTGACAGATGGATACTCGGGGGCAGAAGAGCCTTAAAGAACTCTCATTCTATCACTTAGGTACTCCATTAGAGTTCACTGGTTTCAGAAGACTGGATTCTGGTCCCTGTTTATTGCTCATTGTACCGATTCCTTCCCCACTGCACAGTTGGACAGGCCAGTTACTTGAGAGGTCAGCCTACTTGGAGAAAGGGATAGAGGAGGAAACTCTGTCAACAAAGAAAAGGCTATAAGAATCCTGCTCTGCTACCCAAACCCTTCTATATTGCTCATTGTACCGATTCCTTCCCCACTGCACAGTTGGACAGGCCAGTTACTTGAGAGGTCAGCCTACTTGGAGAAAGGGATAGAAGAGGAAACTCTGTCAACAAAGAAAAGGCTATAAGAATCCTGCTCTGCTACCCAAACCCTTCTCTGAGGATATGTTTGCTTGTTTTGAGATTTCTCTTTGCTGCCAACCTGTCTTTGATATTTTTTATTTCCAATCTTGTGTGTGTGCGTGTGTGTGTATAAAGAGAAGCATACTATGATTTGCCTGGGTCTCAATTGTCCCTAGTCATGCCCCAAGTTTGGGCCACACAAATAGGGTTGGGAGACAGATCCTTGATATGTTTTCAGTTGACAAAAAAATCCTCCAAAACTCTAGGTCTACCTAAATGTGAATTTGATTTCTTTTACAAGCACCAAATTAATTATTCCACTGTTTTTTCTTTACTTATTTCTGAAAAACAGAAACAGACGAGTTTTAAAAGTCAATGCTTTATGGGCAGCAGGTGTTATTTGACAAATACTTATTAGCTAAAGGAAAGGTAACCTTAATGAGAAGCTTCCTGCTAGAAGCAGGTACACCTCAATTATTATTTAGATAACATTTCCTCAGAGGAAATAAAGCCATTTTATCACCTCCTCACTCTGGGGATGTGGGTCAGTATATTATTTATTAGTTTCTGGATTGTCAAAGAGATTATTGATTGCTGCATTAACTTCTTACGTGCAGAGACTAACAGGAGCAGAAAACAACAGGAAACAGTGTCCAGGTTTTGCTTCTAAGGTCATGTCTGTGGTTAATATTCTCTAGAGACCAAGTTCTTGAGATTGGGCCAAGCAATGAAGAACGAATTAAAAATCTGGTGCAACTGAAGGCTGAAGAACATTTCTAGGTGTCTGTCCTAGTGGGGGTTTCTGTTTCTCTGAGTGAATACTCTACAGTTAGACATGATGATTGAGAAGTATTTTGGACTGTATTTCAACTCCTTTGACACAACGTGGAGTGCTAACTCGTGGAGCTGGGATTCCAAAAACTTGGACTCTGGTCCCATCTGTGTGACACTGGGCAGATCACCTACCTTCCTTGTATCTCATTTTCCCATTCAGAAAAATGGGGATTAATATACCATTCTTCTATCTCACAGGTTTATTGTAAAATGAAAAGAGATATTGAATGCAAAAATTACTTCGAAAAATTGTTGAACATCTTTAACATATTATTTCCCTTCTAAAATAATTTATAGTATTAATATCCTATTATGAAATGAATTGGATAACTTGAATGCTGGATTTTTATGATAAACTGCTGTGGTTTTAAATAATCTTTTCCTTCTACCAGTTTTAATATCTTGCCATAGGGGAGAAAATGATATAATACATTTGCTGATGCTTGAATATTTAAAAACACTTGTGATATCGTAGTGATTGTACAATGATTCCCGTCTTGTGGGCTCAAGATAAAATAGATACAAATTGATTTTCGAAATCTACCAATGCCGAACTGTCCATTTCTTCAGAATAGCCCACTCATTGCCTCGGCTTGGCCTTTTATGCCTTTCAGCTTGATTTTTGGAAATCATCCACCACCCCAGCGGAGACAGCCCATGTCTGAGTTCCCTTTGTCAGCGTCCAGGCGGTCAGAGTTTTCTTGGAGTCCCAGGGAATCGCATATTCTATCATGATCAAAGATGTTCAGGTAATTATGCCACAGTCCAGTCTTCCAGAGGCTTGCTGGCCCAAGTGAACTGAAATCCATCCTCTTTAATCTTTGAGTACTCTCTGCTAGGGAAAGGACCTGTGAGTGTCACTAAGGCCTGCAGGGTGGGTAGGGAGGCACCATCTCTCTCCCTTTTGCATTTGGCATAAATAGAATCTGGTAATAAAGAATTTATGGGAAACGGTAAAAGAGAGGCTGTAGCATGAAATACAAAGTACAAACCAAAGGCTGTTAGTCAAAATAGAGAAAAGCAAGCTGTTATTCATTTGGCTTTTTAATTAGAGGTTAACTCAGGTCCCGAGTTCCCTGGAAGGTAAAATGAGCCACAAGACTGTGCCTGCAAGCCCACCAGGACTGTTACCCTGTGTCTCCGGCCTCTGGCTGGCTAGAGGTTTCATGGATGCACCATCCCCTTTCAGAGTGCTGCCAGAATAAGGAGTAGTGGTCAAGGGAAAACCCCCCTGTAACCCAGGTTTTGGGGGGTTCTCTCTGAAAAAATCAACTAATGAATAGAGATTAATATGGAGAAAAGGTATAACAAATTTTATTATATTATAGTTTTACATGACATGGAAGTCTTCAGAATGAAACTCAAAGATATAGGGAGAACTGTTAATTTTTATGCTTAGGATCTATGAAGGAGGCACAGCTGTGTAGAAATGTTATCGGACAAAAGAAGTATGATCTAATGCTGATAGACTGAGTGGGGAAACCCAGCAAAGCCTCTTTGTTTCGATTCTTCTTGGCCTCTCTGCAGCATTCATTCCTCCAGGGTATGGGGCAGGACCCTTTCTGGAGTGGGGGTCTTATGACCTACAATCGGATCAGAGAATTTCTTTACTACAGCCAGCTCCAAGACAGAAAGTTGGGGGGAAGGTTAGCATATATCTGTGACCTGCCTTGGGGAAGAGGGATTTTAGTTTTTATGGTTTGCCTTAGGGGAGAATGAGGCTGAGAGACAGAAGGTGAGAGGAACACTTTTGCTTCTGAGGCTGCTTATGAGGCTTTTGCCTTGGGGTATTGTTTTCTGAGCCCCAACAAAGAGAAAGGCATGACCCTAAATCCTATAGGACAGGAAGTGGAAAGCTTGGTACCGGGGGACTTGAGTGTCACCATTTCCTTCACAATGGTAGAATGAAATGCATTGCTATAAACTAATCATAGATATCATTGGTTTCTCTTAGGTTCTGTTGGACAAAGAGAATGAAAAAATGCTTTTTAATCAGAGAAGAGAATGGAATGTAACTTCAATGTTGGGGCCAACCATACTTTGGAAGAGGTAGTGTTTCAAAATGAACATCAGAGAAATGGGCCATTCTTTCCTCGGATCACAAGGCCTGTACTTCCACAGGGTGATTTAATGTCCTAGAAATTATTCTCTTATTGGGCCGGCCCGGTGGCGCACTGCTACAGTGCGCCGCTTGGGAGCGCGGTGGCACTCCCACCGAGGGTT